TGTTCCTGAGATGATTCTGAAATTCAGGTGGTATGAAATCAAAGTCATATTTTGGCTCCTGTGGATTTGGTTTAAGTTTCCTCAGCTTCAGCTTGTATTTGCATATTGACAAGCAATATAAAAATAAATTATAAGAATTCTTATCCATTCTACAATTTTGCATGTGGAAAATGAAGACTTAATCACTTACTAAAGAAGATCAAAGACTAACCCTTTGATATAGATTCTACTTCAACATCAAGAAATAAAGATCTTTACCACCTGACCAACAGACAAAATCAAGAGAAAAGAGCAAAGATTGAAACTGCCAATGATGCAATTTACTTCAATCTGCAATCAACACTTCTGATGTCAGAAGTCAAGAAATCAAAAGATTAGGGGAAATCCGCTGCCAAGGACCCTTATAAAGCGCAAGGGAGCAAAGGTATTAAACATCAAGGTGCATCTGACTCAGTTATAGTATTACCAGTTGGTTAGGATGCATCTGAAAGTTAGACAATAACTAAGGAAGACTGAAAAATAATAGACAATTTTCAAATTTTTTGTTGGTGAAGAGCATTGTCTATACTGCAGACTGCCAAAAGAAAAAAAAAAAACACCAAAAACAAATCTATCTTGAAGGAAGTGCAAAAAAGGTATTCTTAGAGGCAAGGATGGCGAGACTTTGTCTTTGGACATGCTGTTTGGAGGGACCAGTCCTTTGAAAAGATATTAGGCTGAGAAAGGTGGCGGGTTAGTGTAAGAGAGGAAGATTCTAAATAAGATGAACTGACACGGTTACTGACTGCAACAATGGCCTTGAGCCCGGCAGAGTTTAGGATGGCAAAGGGTAAGACAAATCTTCAATCTGTTATTCTTAGAGTCACTGTGAGCCATAGTCAACTCAGTGTCACCTAACAATAGCATACATTTGTCCGCATATGATATAACTACTTCTTGCTCACAGTACAGCACCCCAAAACAAAGTACAGGATCTTTATCTAAGCAGAATTACCTGTCTTCCTACATATACTTTCACAAAGATACAATAAAATACTATATTTGAAAAATAAAAATAAGGACACTGAAAGAGAGTAGATTAGGATGAAAGACAATTAGGCTGAGCACAAGGCAAGTTTAGAACCAGAAAATTATTGTGATATTGTACATTAGTTTGTCAAAACCCACAGGACCATACAACACAAAGAGTGAGTCCTAATATCAATTCTGGCCTTCAGTTGATGATAACACACTGGCATGAGTTCACCAGTATAACAAAAGCATAAGAAGAAAGCAAAGTATTACTAGCAGGAAGAATGTTCAGGGAGGAAGGGAGTACATGGAAGTTCTGTAATGTCTGTAAACTACTAGTTCTGAAAAAAAAAGAAAATATTACTTGGGAAAATGAAGTAGGAAAACTTCCATGAATTTTCTGTCTCAAAGAAACAGCTGAGTCTGCTTTTTTAGCTGCATCCAATTCTTACCTTGTGGATTGTTTGACTCAGGACTTGCAGGGACGACACACTCCTCATTCTTCTTCTCATACGAGCAGGTCCTTCTCGCCAGTCCAGTTCCCATTGTGAACAGGGCATGTTTCCCACTATCTGGCCCCACAATCCCAGTTCCCCAAAGAGCTTCTCCTTGGTCTTGGCCCAAGCATTGGCTGCTTTGATACCACCACATCTCCGCCTCTGAGAAATAGAAATAGAGCTGTCACATTAGGTACGTTGTTTTCTGGCTTCCAGAAAACCAACTCTGTTGAAGAGTTTCAATAATTGTTTGAGAAATGTATCTGTTCCTTCCCCAATCCAACACACATATGGTGAAGCCCAAGCACTCACTCTTAAAGTCCCAGGATATACAGGGGTTCTCTGGAGCCAGAGTCAGTCCAGGAAAAGGAAAGGTGGTCTCAGCTTTGAGATACTAGTTCCAGGTTAAAGAAGACTGAAGGACCTTTGGCAACTGAGGGTACTTGGCAAGAAGCAATATGTCCCAGAAGTCCTGAAAGCCTTTATCAGAGTAAATGGACAACTATTTGTGGACAAATATTTTCCTATACTACCTAGCAGAGATCCAGTGGAATAATTCTCATCTTCTACACAGGATAGCTGATTTCGAATCCCAATCAACATACCTCAGTTGATCACCACCTATGAGTCTATCAATTAAAGATTGTTGCTATGTTTAAACAGACTTCTAAGATGAACTAGGGTTGTTTCCAACTCTTTGCTGTTGTGAACAAAGCAAAATAAACACAGATGTGCATGTATCTGTTGGGGTGGTAGTTATGGTTTCTTTAGGGTATAGTCCCAGTAGTGGAATTGCTGGGTCAAATGGTATTTCTATTTGCAACTTTTTGAGAAGGCACCCTACTGCCTTCCATAGTGGTTGCACCATTTTACACTCCCGCCAACAGTGGGAGTTTCTCCACAACCTCGCCAGCATTTGTTGTTTGCTGTTCTGTTAAATTTTGCTATTCTTACTGGGGTGAGGTGATATCTCATAATTGTTTTGATTTGCATCTCTCTTAGAGCTAAGGATTTTAAACATTTTTTCATGTGTTTGTTTGCCATCTAAATGTCTTCTTTGGTGAAGTGTCTGTTCATATCCTGTGCCCATTTTTCAATTGGGTTGTTTACCTTTATCTTATTGTGGTGCTGGTGTATTTTATAAATTCTAAATATAAGTCCCTTATCTGGCATGTCATTACCTGTGTTTATTTAGGTTTTGTTCACAATAGCAAAGAGTTGGAAACAATCCAAGTGTCCATCAACAAATGAATGAATAGAGAAGCTCTGGTATATTTACACAATGGAATATTATGCGACATTGAAAAACAAGGACCTCATGAAATATTACACAAAATGGGTGACCCTGGAAGACATTATGCTGAGTGAAATATCCCAGTCACAAAAAGACAAATATGGCATAATGCCACTGTTATAAAAGAGGACTGACATCGGGGTTGGGGGAAGACTGAGAAAGAGGGGATAAATAATGTATACTGCATCAAAACAGATGAGAGAGAGAACTGTTTAAAAGGGATATACGATTAGATATTATTGTTATGACAGGAGTCCAGAATGAAAGTAGCATAGTGGAGTTGACTTGGGGGGAGGGATTGAATAACAATGAAAAAAAATTTTCTTTTACTTTTCAAAGAGAAAACCTAATTGCTGGGAGGGGTGGGCAGGGAGAAAAGTGCAACAATGAATGAATGAATTGAAATCCAAAGTCTCTGTAAAGTTATATTAAAATAAATTTAAAATTAAAAAAAAAAGATAGACTAGGGTAAAAGGTTTAATGATCTAGTTCTGAAAGTCTGATAATATAAGGTCTCTAGGTTTCACTTGGGAAAGAAGAGTCTCCTCAATAAATAGTGTTGAGAAAAACATATTTCTACATGTAAGAAAAGGAAATAAGATTGATGACTCACACCATACACAATACCAAATAAGGACCAAATATGCCAACTAAACCCGTAAAAATCTTAGGAGAAAAAGCATTAGCAAAATAAAAAAAATATCATTATGACAATAAAGAAAGCAACAGTTATTAAAAGACAAGAAGAAAAAAATGGATTTCAGAAGAAACTCCGGAACTTGTTCCTGAAGGTAGAGCATTGCATATGAATGGAAGAAACAATGAAGTACAGAGCTGAAGATTTCAAAGAGCAACTTGAGAAGACAAAACACTAAAATGAAATGTACAAACTCTTGAGGTAGAAGGCTAAGTAGGAAGAACATTCCTAGCATTTCTCAAATGAAAAGAACTGAAAAAGAAATTGAAGCCTTAAGTTGTAAGAGTGAAGAATTCTATTAGCAAAATAGAAAATGACTCAGGAAACAACAGAAGATGGAAGGAATGGAAAATTGTCAATGTTCAATCATTTCAGGATAGATTAAGATAATAATAGGCTCAAACAGTGATAATTTTGAAGAAGGTACAAGAATAAGCAGTGTTTTGTTCTTTTGTACACAGGATACTGGGAGTTGGAATCAATTTAATGGTATTTTACAGTAACAATTACATAAAAATGAAACATTTGTTCAATTGGCAAAAGCTGTTGCAAGATATATTTACAAAAATGACAAGAAAAAGTAGTTAGTGAGCCTTACCATGTACAACCAAACACCTATGGTATTTGGTTCCTTGATTTGAAAGTTTACTCATGATTTCTTGAAGGCAGCTCAATTATTTAGCTAATAAACATCCAGTACTTCTGTTCTACCTCCTAGTTAGTTCATTGCATAGTATCTAGGGTATTTAAAGCTTCCAAACAGCTATCTAAGGCACAATTGGTTGTATTAGCCTATAGTAAAGGACAAAGATTGGGAGTTAGGAACTGGAGGAAAATATGTAACTTATGATTAATGGCCTATATGAACAACTATTTTATTAAGCATAAAACTAGAAGAATTGCACGGTACCCAGCTCCATCACTGAATATCTTGTTCAAAGAGTCCATAGAAGAATCTTGATCAAAACGTAAAAAATGTAGAATAGAATTTAAGTCTCATGGACTCTAGACATTCAGGAGTCATCTAGACTTTCTGTATATACACCTAAAACTCTTAGCTGAGCTAATATTTAAATATTAAATAAGAATATCCCTGAAGTCATTCTAAAACCAATTATTAGTTTAATTTAAATGAATCATAACAACTTTTATTAACTAAATATACCTTGAGTATCATGACATTTTTGAGAATTAAATATATGGGATCAAATGGGCAATAATAACTCAAGAGATTAGACAAAAATACTAAGGGTAGTGAGCTCATGCCAATGTGTGAAGGACAGCTCCAAAAAGGATGGTGAGAATGCTTACATAACCAAAGATACACTTCACATTACTCAGAGATACATGTAGAAACTGTCGAATTGTTCATGTTTTGTTGTGTATATTTCTAAGAAACAAATAAATAAAGGTGGAGGGAAGGCAGGGAATCTGTCCACTGCAACAATCTATGGGAATGGCATGGAACTAATCAGCATTTCAGTCTACATGTGTGGGTTCATTGTGGCTGACTCTACATAGGCTGACACAACAACTCTCAAAAAAATGATGCTAAAGATACTTTCTCCAGTCATCTAGACTGCAGGTAAAATGGTAATCAGCAATAGTTGATTGAGTTGAACAAGCCATTTTTATTTTTGGATTTCAGTTTCTCCAGTTATTACATATGGACTTGGTTTAGATACTTTCTAAAGGCATCACCTTATCATTATAAAATGATCAAGGATGTTCAACAAAGCTCAAATGTTAACGTTAATTTAAAGTTACATAATAATATAGTAGTGTCTAGGTGGTGGAAACAGTTAATATGCTTGGGAGCTAACTGAGTGAAGTTAAAACCCATCCAATTGTGCTTTAGAAGAAAGATGTGGTGATCCACCTTTCAAAAAATTCTCCATTCTACAACCTGGGTGAACATGAAAGACATTATGCTGAAAGAAATATCTCAGTCACAAAAGGACAAATACTGCATAACATGGCTGTTATAAAATAGGACTGACTTGGGAAGACAATTGGAAAAGAGTAACTAGATAATTAACACTGCACTGGAAAAGATGAGAGGAAGAACTGTCTGCAAAGAGGTTGTGATTAAGCATTATGACAGCAATCTGGAGTAAGAGGTGCATTGCAAAGTGGACTAGGGAAGGAAAAAAAGGGAGAGGGAGAAAAATATGCAACAATGAATGAATGAAAACTCAACCTTTGTGTAAAATTTCATTAAAATCACAACTTTTTTTTAAGTAAAAAAAATCCTCCATCAGGACACAGTTCTGCTCTCACACATATGAGCTTGCCTATTTTGAGTTGAAATTGACTCTAGTTTTTACTGAATATTTATAAAATCTTCAGAATTTGCATCTGTTGCCCTTGATCATCTACTCAAATAAAATGCAAACTTTTATATAATACACATAGACATACCTAAAACACATTCCTATTCTAATTAGACTTTTGTCCATCATCTCAAGAAGATAGGTTCACTTGCTTTGGACAGTAGAGTTAGCTTTGTCTGCAGGGCCATTTTTTGGTAATTATTTAATTATTCATTCTGGAAATGAATGAAATTTTAAGAATTCCTCCTAAATTTTAGTTTTAATAGTTTTAATTTTTCAGAAAACTAGGAAAAAAAGTAATAATTATAAAAATCCCAAGTCTCACAAATTTAATATAAATAGAAAAGAGACTTTTTATGTTAAGTATTTCATCCACTTTAGCTCACTTAATCTAGTCAGTGGTATTACAGACTAAGAAATTGTTATAATCCTTATAAGGAAACTAAATCTTGGAGAGAAGTGTCTTGTCTAAAAAGGAACATGTGATCAAAATGAGATGCTCTAAACCAAATCTGTCAGACCCCATAACCTTCAATTGGGTATGAGTGTTGGATTCCTTTCCTGCAAGATTATTAATACTTTATGAACACGTGGAAAGAGACTAGAGGACAAGCACAAGTACATTCAAGATCCTCAGTCCATGTGGTCCCTGTGTGTGAATCAAAAGATCCCTCCCCGCCCCCAGTCAGGTTCTGGGCCAGAAACCACCCTACAGACATCAGCTCTGCACAAATTAGAAAGTGGTGGCTAACATTGTGTAGGATGTATATAGTTCAGTGAGTATATTTATTTTGAGCTCACATCTTTCTCATTCATACATCCTTATGCCTCAATTTCA